AAATCTAATGGTCCGTCCCTTACGTTGGTTCATTCTGAATAACAAAATCAAGGAATGCTCGTACTGTGTATTGACTGTGACATGCTTTTTGGTTGGATGATGTGATGATGCGGTGTTGCCTTTTTTTAAATATTTTTTTAAAATTAATTGCTCAACATTTAGAGGTCAACATTACAGAGAGAAAAAGAAAAAAACGGAAAGAAGCTGCGGTGTTGCCTTTCCCCTCTACACTCTTCTTCGCAGCACCGCAGACCAACGATCAACGCAGGCATACTAGTCGAACAGCTGAATCAGTAATTTAAATAGAATAAGTGTATACTGAAAGTGCGTTAACGTCATTAGCCGTCGCTAAATGGTGAAACATTTTCGCCCAACATATTTGCGTCGTAAGCTACAGAGCGTATGTTTTTCGTTTTACCACTTCGCGTGCAACGAAATTTCTTTGTTACAAAGAGTAGCGAGAGTTAAGTGTGATATATRTGAAGCGAATTAAATTATATACGAAAATATTTTTTAAATATTTTCCAGTAATGTGTCTCGCGGATATTAACAGAGCACACTACYTCATAGTTGGGCACCCTGTGGTTTTTAAATGGCAGTTTTTCTTCATGGCTTTTCAGTGTCCACTGCAAAAATAGCCTTGCCYTCTCCTCCCCTAAATGTCATAAACCCAACCTCGCATCACAAGCGCAATAACATTTCTGTTACCTTTTCATACACGTTTAACACTTGTTCGATGGCTCTCTCCCCGTGCGCGTGTATTGCAATCTGCTTGGCTCTGTTGTGGCCTTGCTGCACCATATGAAGAAGTTCCTCGTTTGTGTAGTTCAAAGAACCATATGAAGGAGAGGGTAGGAATCCAAAGTTTTCGGTCTTTTCGTTAGYAAGAAACGGCTCACGCGTGGCGCAAGACCCACACCGGGGGGACCCATCGCTGATAATCTTGACCCCGGCGAACCAAAGCTTGTCGTTTAGAGCCAAGTCGTTTTTATCGGGACAGATCGCACTGGGTTTGATTTTTGATGCATCTTCGGAGTTAGAAATCTGTTCATATATAGCTAGACGTATTGGACAGTCAGGCTGGCCAGCCTTATTCCGTACAGCCCTATCGATCTCTTCGTCTGGTGCGTGAAGTAGCTCAGCAACTGTTGTAAAACCAGCGCATGCATATTCTTTCCACTGGTCGTCGACAGCTTGAGCTATTTCCTTTATTGTAGGTTTGGAAGCGCGGCTAAGAAAAGCCTGCCAGGCCGATGGCTCCAAAAGCTTGCCTGTTAGCTTCTTTGTCACTTCATCTCTCACAAAACACCCGCCTTCGGGATCTGCTGATTCGTCGATCCCTGCAGCTTCAAAAGCTTTGCGATTCGCCCATGATTCGTGTCGACTTTCACTTATGACAAGTATAGGGACATCGAGCGAGAACGCGTCAAGGGTCTCCAAGTTTAACTGAGGCAGATCACTGACTATTAAGGGATCCCATCCAACAAAAACACACCACTTTCCACTGGTTGGGTCAACTCCAGCCACAGTTTTCTTGATGACCTCTTCTATTTGTTTATAGGAGTCATAATGATAACCACTGCAGCTTACGAATGAACATCGAGGCTCTATCATGAGGGTAGGATGTTGATGTGGCTCGATCAAGCCTGGAAGAAGTGTTTGACTTCCTTTGAGTACCACGTACTTGGTGTGTGGACCTGTGAACGAAAACACATGATCTTTCGTTCCTACTGTATGGATTGTCTTTCCTTTGAAACCAATAGCTTCTGGATTTGGGCAATCATCGTCCATTGTCAGAATCGCCCCACCATAGAAAATGTAATCAACTGTTTCCGCCATTGCTAAGCTTATGGTTTGTTCTTTGGGCTTCCTGTKTAAAACCATTTTAATGTCAGTCCTTCTGCCTGCCTGTCTGTCTGTCGCTGTTTTCAGAGACAAAACATTTGAAGGACTTCGACGCTAGAGACGCTTTTAGATATRCTTTTGGCACGAAGGTATGTTTTCTTTAAATAAAAAGCTTTCCTTAGAGATTATTACTACAAAAATTTCATTCTTGTCTTCATTTATGCCATAGAAAAAGCGTAAACTAACAAACGTCCACAGTTTCTCGAATATATTTTTGGCGTGAATTTTAAATCATCATCTTGTCAAAGATTTTCGTGTAAAATTTTCGAAAATAAACCCAAGCTTACAAATAGAATTCTATCTAGAGATTTTAAAAACTGTTTTGGAACTAAAGTCAAGTAAATAAAACTGGCTTCAAAGTCTCGTGAGACAAGTTGCAGGTGATTTTCGTCTTCATTGGTAATTTGAACGCTGTCATGTAAAATTTTAAAACAAGTATCCGAATTCTKCTAAATATTCAAATAAAATTATAGTAACTCCTATCTCGACATGATCGATGAATGATCGTCTAAGAAGAGAATTTTCTCAATTTCCAATTTAGATATTTATCAAACAGTATGTGTTGACATATACTTCAGATAAGGAATGTCTCTAATGTTCGAAAACTTTTTATTGACTCTAAATCTTAATTTCTCCAGGTGTTCAAAATGTCTAGAAAAAATAGAAATACGTTCTCATATTATGCCGRAAAAATATAAGCTTCTTGTTTGGAGATTTTGCTTTTGTGGGAGTTTTTTTGTTGAATGTTTGTTAATGGATTTACACTAATATTTAGAACCATAGTACATTTAACACATAACTGTAAAGAAGAACGCTTATTTTGTACATWTTTATTGAAGCTTGACACTGAATYTGAACTTAATGCCTAGCAATTAAACTTTGCCTAACGCTTGTTAATCTTATATTCTCTTTTGTGTATATAATCAAGAAAACTCAAAACTTCCGAAATTTGTGTAGATATTTAGTGTTAATGTCTTGCATTTTGGCCCTCCTGAGAAAGATCATACTGTCCTTTCAAAAACAATTTATGAATAGCGATTATGAGAGCCGGTCAACCACATCTAGTGTATTCTAGTTAATATTCAGGATTTCCTGTTGAAAATATTAACGCTGTCTTTGTTTTACAATATTTATAAAAGCTTGAGAAAAAGTCTTAAGATTTTTACAGTATTTATTAACATATCTATATTTATTATCATACATAGTTTTAAAAGTATGAATATAAGTACTGATGTAAAAAGCATTGATGCAAAAAAAGTCAAAAGTTATTACAACTAGTATTTTTCAATAATAATATTTGAGTTAACTGTGCCCTAACTTTGATCAGCCCAGAGATTATTTTAGGGTTCGATCTGTGAGTTAGCTTTGTCCTGAGTTTGATCAGGCTATAGGTTGTTTTAGGGTTTGATCTGTGAGTTAGTTGTGCCCTGACTTTGATCAGCCCAGAGATTTTTTTTATGGTTCGATCTATGAGTTAGCTGTGCCCTGTGAATTAGCTGTGCATTGACACATTCACAATTGTAAGGGAGGTTGAAAATCAGTATTTAGCCACCTGCTACAGGGGCAGATCCAGGTGGTGTCTCTATGGTGCACCAGACCCTTTCCCATCCCCCCACCCCCACCCCCCAAGCCACCTGTTATTATTTTTTGTACATATATATGTCTTCTTTTTATTTATGTTTCTTGATTCTTTAGTCCAACTCAAAATTAATATTGAATAAGAGAACAATTAAATAAGTCATATCTAGGTTATTAAGGATGTACACCTTTCGCACACCTCACCTTGCAAATTTCTGGATCTCCCCCTGTGCCTTATACATCCTCTAATTAAAAATCCTCTTTTTGATAACATGCACAGGTAGCCTTCACAGTATGAAAGACTTTAGGTACATATTATAATCACAATGGCTGTTGCTGAAGCTCATATCAAGGCACATGAGAATCTTGGTCAGGGGCTGTTTGGAGTACAGTTGGAGGTATCTTATTAGAGAGTTTTAGATTGACTTTTTTTTCTCCCCGCAAACGGCAAACRTGACCACRTTTTCATAGTTTTCCTGTATTTTACTTTACYTTTTAYAARCCTTCTCMCCRRGYGCAAATACTCTTTTGTTTTTCTACTACTTGGACTTTTTTGCGATTCTTTTTCAGTMATTTAAAAGAACTTTTTACTGGTCAACTGWYRTTTCACGTTTGCCRWGAACRSCRTAAATCTAAAACTCTCTATTATTATCAATTTATACATTGTGTTTTATGTGATCACATCACTTGACTGGCTGGCAACCTGGTGTTTAAAGATTTGCAATTACTTCCTTTCTTCTTAATCATAGATTCAATATTAGAATTATATTTATCATTAATATTGAGTGATCACCTGGCTACGCAGACTCTGAATGGTTGAGACCTGTATTGTATTAGTGGATAGAGCATGGTGCTGATGTGATCCCAAGGACCACAGTCCACCCTAAAAGTGGAGGGGGGCTAAGATTAAGTATTGGAAAAAGTGTGGGGCTTAAAATTGGAAAATATAAGAGACTAGTAATAATGGGAAAAGGGGCCAGGGGCTATATAGCCACCCTCTCCCCTAGCACCCCATCTCCATATGGTACCTGCATCCATGTGTGCCATGTGTGGGAAAAGGGAAAAAA